TTGCAAGCCCAACCTTCTTATAAAGCATAAATCAATTTAGGTTTCTGAACTTTTTTAACTTTAACGTAACTATTTTCCTACAAAAAAAATCTAATTAGAAATAAATTTTGTAATTTTGCGAGCSTGTAATTTATTTTGTACTTATTATAATTAATCAAATGTATGAAAAAGTGCATATTCATGGATATGCTTTAGTAAAACAGAGTTGAGAATACAGTCGTATAATATTTTATGTTTTAATGTTTTAACAATGGTAAATTTCGTGAAATCACAGCGCACATTTCGGAAATAAATTTTGATCAGAAATTACTTTTTTATTTTGAACAAATCCATGCGTTGTAAAATTTGGCATAGACCTTATTAATGTATTTGCTCAGTACTCTGCAATATTTCTCCAAACTATTTGTGAAAGGTTTCCTGGTGCTGAGGGAACAAAAAAAGGCCATAATTTCCGTAGAATCCRAAACTTCACGTAATATTTAGACCTAATGTTAAAAATATCTGGTGCTTAAGCAACCAAGAAAGCCATCACTTAAGCACATCCGGCTCGCATATACTTAATTATACCTTCCAGGACCGTGTGAGAAAGAAGCAAGYRATYTCTTRCACATGATCTTGGCGTTCCTGCATATACTTAAGGCATTCTAACACGTCCTGATTAAAATTTCGTTGTATACCGTGCTTAGTGGCTTTCGTATTTCATGTATTTTTTCGATATGACTTATAAGTTTAGGTWAGATTTCGTGGCCGCTGCCCAAGCGTTGACACAGGTAAATATTTTGTACTGCCCAAAAGTGCTGCATATAGTTTAGAATTAGAAATTTTTTATAGTGGCAGCATCTTGAGTCCATCACGMAGGTGCTAAGATAGAGATTGACTTCCATACATGTGATACTATAAATGAACTATTTTTAAGAGTTAAAATAGTAATGTTTGATACATAACTAAAAGCCTTTACAACAACAACAAAAACAAACAYAAACAGGCAAAGCAACACCAAAACATTGATAAGCAACYAAATGGAGACGATTTGTTGATAAATTGCTTGGCGTTGAGAAATATCGAGTGCAATGCGCACGAATTGTTGGAGCAATTCATGGGAAAGCAAATGCGCCTATGTGCCTACAAAATTGGAAATTAAAAATTCTCCAAATTTGAAGGCGAGAAACTTATCAAAAGTAAACTTTGCCGCTTCTTTTTCATTTTCGTCACCCTTGTTGGGGACATCACTATTGACACTAGCGATAAGTAGGTGACATACTGGGTGTCAGCATATAGGCGACAGCTACAACAGCAATACCATACATACTTCAAGTTAGACAAACAACAACGACAACCTGTGTGCTCATGCGTGCGCAAACAAGCCGRAGAAATAGAATTTCGAATTCTACCAAATTCTTTTACCACAAATAATCATTGAATCACGCTCAAGTGTCAATTTGAGGACATGAATTTGCGCAGCAGCGTTATTTACAAAAACAAATATATGCAACTTAGAATTTTATGATTTTTGGACGCATTTTTTGTGTGATTTCTTTATTTTCAACTTTGATATGCTTGTGCTAGTGTTGTTGTTATTGTTGTTGATAAAACTACACTTCTTGTCACTGTCAATGTGGCTACCTGTTCTCATATTTTATTAGTTCGTAGCTGTGTGCTATATGATATATACATATAAATGTTAATATATATAAATTGTACATATGTATATACATACATAAATAAATAGAAGTGCGTTTGTGGCACCTGTACCTTGCTTTGACTTGAAATTCTGAAACCTGTCGCCCGCTTCTTGCGTATATCTAGCTACGTGTGAGTATTTGCTGATAGCTGATAAAAGTTTTTTTGTGTAAATAAATTAGCTGCTCTACTGGAACACTTGGTGTTTTCATGCCACACATACACAAATGCCAACATAAATTTATCAAATTAAATTTTTCATCACTGATTGATTTGGCTTAAGGAGTTTTGGGCGCTGATAAAATTGCCTATGATCGATAATGAAACAATAGTGTTAATTGTACAGTAGCGGAAAGGGTGATACAGGTGATAGAGTGAAAACACGGAGAAGTTTGTGGTTTAGTAGGAAGACATGTAATTTATGAGCATTTATTGCGATTGTTTGAAATTGTTCAATATAATTGTATATAGAATGAAAAAATAATGATTTTGTTGTTATAAAATTTGCTTTGAATTTAATTAGAAAATAATAAATATAATTGAGAGTCTTGAATTTTAAGTAAAATTTTATTTTAAATATTGGCAAAATCATGTTTAGATCGTTTACATATTTATATGAGTAAAAAAACATTAAGAATTTCTTTAAAATATTTTCAATTTCGTTTTAATTATTCAAAATTTAAAAAAGAAAATCAATACTGCTAATTTTTTTTAAATATTTTTTTTATAAATATTTTACTAGAAATATTGATGTGACCATTTTGTTACAAGTTCTAGTGTAATATGCATAATAATAAAGCATAATTACTTTTAATAAAATTTGTTTTGAAAGAGCAATTAATTCAAAACTTCGAAAAGCGTATTTTTTTTACATATACACATTTTTTGCTATAAGCATAAGACGTTATTTCTGGTGTTAAAGAATAATTTGCCATAAGAACAGCTTTTTTTTACTTAGAGCGAAAATTTTCATTGCTAAAAATCACACCTGATCCTAAAAAACTACAAAATATTCAGGAATAGTTTAATTAAAATATTTATTAAAAAAAACTACAAAGTATTGAGAAAAAGTTTATTTAAAATATTTTGTATGTAAATACTTTTTTTCAATTTCAAATTTTGATGTACTCATTTTTGTAATGTAATAAATTATCACATTTTTTCATATAAAAAGCTCATTTAAAACAATTTTGAAAAAAAAAAAAACAAATTATTGCTATCATTGTTGGGATGTAATATTTTTTACTTTAATTTGCAACTAAATTGTGTATTTTACTGTTACTTTTTATTACTACTATCCAAATCTAGACAATTTCAAAATTTTAATTGCTTCAAATGTTTTAAAATTTTTTGTAAAGCTGTATTTTTTACGGTTTCTTTCATCAAATTATAAATATTTTTTTATTAAAATTTTAATTTTTTTAACTAAATTTTCAGTAAAATATAGATGTGTATAAGAGACAGGGATATATCCTGATGAAATTTGGCACAAGTTATTATTCAAGGTCACAGTACAATCTCCAAAGAAATTGTTCAGATCGAATAACTTTAGCATGTAGCTG